CCCATATATACAAGTTTGTAAAAAATCGCAAATTTTTCACAATAAATTTCTCGTTTCGATCTTCAAGTTTCTGTTTAATATCCTTTAAATCAGCTGTCATTTTTAAAAGCAGCGGCTCTGGAATGAGAGACAAGATTTATTTTACTTACAATAATATAGACTTTGGTGATTTACATTGAAACCTTCGCCAGCGATGAGGTCACGTTTTGGGCTATTGCTCCAGGCACTAGCGGATCCAGAATTTAATTTTGGGGGGGGGCTTCAGCCCGAAAGATTTTTTTTCATATACATATAACGATAATTATTTTTTTAAAAAAAGAAAGAAATTAACTACCTATATGAAATGGTGTTTAAGTGGTTCTTGAAGTCCTATTAAATGTAATTAAATGAACAAGAATACTTTAAGAGGTTGTTTTTAATATTTTTTTCTGAATATTTTACCATTTTGGTGGGAGCTTCAGCCCGAAAGTCCCCTCCCCAAGTAGATCCGCCTGTGGCTCCAGGCCTCCTCTTTTGTTCTCCACTTCCCTCTGTCTCTTGCTTCTCTCTTCCAATCGTGGACTCCTAACGTTTTCGCGTCTCTCCCCACTTCACCCTTCCACCTGCTTCTCGGTCTTTCCCCTTCCTGCTGAAGTGCGCTTCTAGTATTTTCTTCCGCACCCTTTGATAACAGTAAATAATGTTATTACTCTCTCTTGTAGTTCCGATTCCTCCTTTCTTTCCGTCAAGTTTACTTACCGCAATCCACTGGCGACAAACATCAGGTCTCAGCTCCAGAGGTAACTACTGGTCTAATAAGTCCATTCTGAACACATTTTCTACTCATCTCAGCCTTCTTACCTTGATACAATTAATAATATTATCATCTTCTAATATAGTCTCGATTTCACTTTTGCTCTTAACTTTCCATTCCCATTAAATCTTGTAGCACCGTAAATCATTCTTGTTATGTTTCTTTCAAATACTTCTAGTTTACGGCAATCCTCTGTAAGTGACTATTGGTATAAAACGTGCTTTAATTCTGTTGCTTTTGATAACAATTTAGATTTCAGAATAGAGCCAAAGGGTTCACTGTTCAGAAATGAGGAAGTAAAGTGGCAACGTTGAAATTTCGAAATCGTCTTATTTTCCGAGTAAGGAATTGTTATTCGTGGCAAATATGAATAAGAAAAAGGGAATAGATTAGCAGAGATGATATGTTTTCGGAACGGAGGGTAGATAGGGTCAGGAGTTCGCAGTGCTCCTCCCTGATGAATTAGCCAGGAGAGCCCTGACAGTTACAGGCAACCCCACTCACCCCTGTCACCGCCCCCACCGGGGCCCACTCAGGCCCCATTATATATTTATTCGTCGGCACAAACAAACATCGCCGGGGTAGAAAAATATTCTAAATAAATTATATCTATATTATAATACCTCATATGTGTGCTATCATGCCTTGTATTTGCATTAACTCCGTTGTCAATTCCCAAATGGTATGGAAATTTTGCAATAATTATAAAGTCGACTTAGGCCAAACATCAATAAATATGGTTTGGAGTAGAGGAGAAAATAAAAACCGCGAGGCAAAGTAGACACTCCTCAACATTGGTTCTGATTACCATCCAAGCGAAAATTAATATTTCCATAATTTAAAAAAAATATCGGGTTTGTCCACTTACATCTCTTTTCTTCCCAAAAACCCCTGGCGCTACCACATCATCCTTCCATCTGCTTCTCAGCCTTTCCCTTTAGCCCTGGAGCCAGAGCCCAAAAATCGACCTTATCGCAGACGAAGGTTTGATTGTAAATTACGAAAGTGTATGTTATTCTAAGTAAAAATAACCTTGTCTGCCGTTCCGGAACCGCTACTTTAAAAAATGGCGGCTGATTTAAAGAATATTAGGCCAATAATTTGAGGATCGAAACGGAAAATCCATTGCAAAAAATGTGAGAAAATTTTTTTTAACTTATATATATGAGTTTAGACATGTAAAAATCAAAATTGCTGACGCAGGCCACCAAGAGAAAACTTTTTACAGCCAAAAAAGTCAGATTTTTCGATATTTTTTTGTTTTTTTCACCTATAACTCCTAAACGATGCATCAAAGCGAAAAATGTACTCTTTAATAAATTAAAGAACGTTAAATTTGCGTCAAACGAGTACATTCACTCTATAATTTGGTAACGCGGTAAGGTATAAAACTACGGTCAACCAACGCTGATTTTTACAAAATTTGTCAAAATCAGAGACAAATTACTATAAATGGCCCTGTACCTTAGAAATGAGTTCCCTAAGAGGAAAAACCAAAAGAATCAAAGTTGTAGAGCATTATATTTTGCGTAAACTGAGTACCAAATGACCTCCCTATCTTAGCCTACTTGCATTTAATAACAGTTAATAATGTTATTATTCTCTTTTGCACTAGCGGATCCAGGATTTAATTTTTGGGGGGGGGGAGCTTCAGCCCGAAAGATTTTTTTTTATAAAAATAACGATAATTACTTCGGAAAAAAAGAAAGAAAATAACTACCTCAATGAAATGGTGTTTAAGTGATTCCTAAAGCCCTTTTAAATGTAATTACACGAACAATAGTACTTTGAGAGATAATTTTTTAATGTTTTTTTTCGATAAAACATGGTTATATTTTCTCATTTTTGGGGGGGAGGGCTTTAAACTAAAATTTCCTTATAATAAAAACACTTATTAGATCGGAAAAATCTTTATTTCGTTGTTGCTGGAGGATCTTCTACTTCTACTGCTTTTTTTTTTCCTGTTTTCCCTCCCTCACCTTTAAGGCTACACGGGGTTTTCCCGGGACAGGGGGTGAGGGCGGAAGATTAATACCAGAGTTAAAAGTACCACTGGCACCGGAACGTGAACTTGTACTTATTTTAATCCATATACACTTCAGTTAAATATGATTTTGAACTTTTTTTTCAACTTGTAGGATTCCCCTAATTAAGGAGGTATGGTCTAACTGCCATCAAAAATTTGACACCATTACCTAGAGGTATGAAAGCAAAAAAAATTGAAATAATTTTTCTTTGAAGAAAATATTAAATTTGAATAGGTGAGAGGAGTTTCTCGCCGTTGCCTTTGTTCTGATGTACATTCAGTGACCTATACACTTTTGATAAGGTTTTTAAAAATAAGTATATTTTTCAGATTCTTCGATAAGAGCAATCTTAATTCTTAAAGTTATTCAAAATTTTAAGATAATTAAAGGAGAGAAATATTTTTCTAGGTTGAAAATAAATGTTCGGTAATAAGTGCAGTAATATATACATATGTATAATACAGCGTTGGAAAGCTGAAGATTTACAAAAAATTATACCTAACATATTAAGTTGTATAAGATAATGGGAAATTACAAAAAAATAAAAAATTTTACTAATAATTATTGTAGTTAATGATTTCTACTTCTGTATTGTTAAACAGAAAGTGAATATACACGGAGAAAGAAATTTTTGGAATATCGAATTTTTGTATAGCCGTCCCCGCAGGGGTGTCCCTCCTCCCAAGGCTCATCTTCCCAATGAAATTTCATTTCCATATCTCCTTAAAAGCGGTGAAAGGGAAAGGAGAACTATAAAATTAATATTTTATAAAAAATAAAAAATAAAACATTTTCTGTGATCTGTTCAATGTTTTTCCCATGTTCCTTCCGAAAATTCATAACTGTGAAAATATGATATAAAATATAACTGATTAATAAAAATGTATCCCTAAAAGCATTATTGCTTATGCAAGTAGCGTTTTTTTTTTCTTTTGTTTTTTCCTTCAAGGACTATTTGACCTTAATTGTATACAGTTTCTTCCAAAGTAATCACCGCTATAAAACAATTAAATAAAGAAATAAAAATTTGTTACAATAGCTCTCTCCCCACAATTTAATCCTGAATCTACTATTGCTATCCCTATATTCCTAAAAAAAAACATGTTTATATAGAACCAAGTTGAATGATATGCTGATAAGTTGGAATTAATTAATTATTATTAATTCATCAATAATTATTTTTGTTGTTTGATTGATTATTATTAGTTTTCCCCGCCCTCCAATTTATTAATTTTACAAAATATTACAATATATATTATACAAAGCATACGTATATATTCAATTTTTACAAGTTCCTTATATTGTTCAGGAGCATTTTAAGGATGATTATTAATTTTGAAATGAATATTTATTAATAATTAAGGAACATCTTTCATTTAATATAGTTTTGACTTAATATTCAAAACTATATTATACTCAAAATGAGTATAATTACTCATATTAACTCTCCTTCAAAATCTTTTCTTGTCGGTTAATAACTTATGTATTAAATATAAAGTCTTTTCAAAATGCCTAATTAAAAGAATCAATCTCTAAACTAGAAAGAAAATAATTAATACTACGTATGACCTCTTTTAAGATTTCGTGTTTCCAAATAGCTCCTACTGTGAGCAGCACTGTAGCCAACCCCTCCATCGTCCATCCCTAGTCCAACTCCAGTTCCTTTCTGACTGAGGCCTTTTTCCTCTTGTTTTTTGTATTCCCCTTTTTATTAGTTATATGTTAACAGTTTAAGGTATGTAAAATTGCTTAAGTTACAACTTTAATATCACTCCTGCCGTTTTTCTTTCTTAGTTTTGTGATTGTTGAATAAGTGTAGTTCATTCTGTTCATAACCTTTCAGTGGCGTCACTTAATGGGAAATCTGCTCCATCGTATGTAAAGTTTTTCTGTTTAATTCTTATTTTATTTTATCAAACCGCTTTCTTTGCCATTAAAGGAAATACATTATTGCTTTTATTTAATTACATGTACCACGTTTTAATATCAGTCGCCATTGCACAAAATTTCTCAATCAATGCATACTCCAGATAGTTAATCTTTTTAATATGTTTACATATTCATTATTTACTTATTCCTCTTATATGTAGATATAATTTGTGGTAACACAGTAATTATACAATGCCTATGTTCTGTTAAATTATTGATGGTTTCCTGTAGTAATTTTTTTTTTTTTTCAGTGTGAACTGACTTTCTTGCCCACCAGCCCCCCATAACCTTTAGTTCCACCTTCTAAACCCATAAAAATGGAAACAGACTTAAAAATGAATTTCGCTAATGATGATCCCAATGTCACTCTTACTATTCGACTGATCATGCAAGGAAAGGTGAGTGTTTACATTTATATTTTTCAAATTAATACATAACATTAACAAATTATGTACATAATAATCCACACCAAATTATATACATACCATTTTATAAAATCTTTTCAGCTATCTTATCCTTACTATGCCAAGAATAATTAAATATTTCACAAATTACTGTATATTTTAAAAATGAATTGACCTTACTATTAGGTCTCTGCGTATTGACATTTATATATTTGTATTCTTTTTTTAAAATTCTTATTAATTTTTTATGCAAAACCTGAACTAATTTTACTCTTTTAAATTCTTAATGAACTCTTGGAGACTCTTCTGCCATTTTTAATAGTTTGATTAATTTGTCATTCTTGTGTTTATTTTGAGTTCTGCCATATATATATGTTTTTTTTTTTATTCTTAAAAATTTAGAAATTTTCTATTTAGAAGATTTATAATTTCTGCATGGTGTTAGTTTATTCAACAAAATTTTTAATTGATTTTATTTCATTCTGGAAATTAAATTTTAAAAAGTGCAATTGAATAAGAATGCTCTTATTTGTTAACAATTTAAATGTCTGTGCGTATATGTGTCTACTGTGAATAAATCAAAATCACACTCTGTTATATTTCTCTTGTTATTTCCAGTTAAACAGTTAGGTGAGATAGCAATCTCAGCTATTTCAGTTTTAAAAAGTACAGCTTAAGCTTTCAGTCTATTGATAGACAAATAATAAGTTTTTGTATCTATGCACAAATTTAATGGATTGTTTATTTTATGTTAAGTTACTTAATTTTCATTTAAGGAATATTATTATTAGTCCTTCATTATTATCATATTTGGTTCTAAAATATCTCAATTGATACTTCATTTTTATAGTAAATTAAATTCACTATAACATGTGCTGAGTAGTAAGTAAATATATTTCACAAATAATATTTAATGTATATTCCTTTAATTTCTTTTACAACAAACATTTAAAATGCTAACTTACATTACCTTATTTGCATTTTTTATAATTTGGTTTTATGGCTCACAGTACACAGTAGATTCTACAACATAATCCTTGTTTATTTGCAGATGATTTATTTTAGTATCTGAATCTATAATCACTGTATTATTCCAAACTACTGGTTTGTGGTGCGAAAACTGAAAGCTAACTAACAATTTTTACAAGCTGATTTCGAAATACTTCCATTTCCATTTAAAAATACCAACTTGTGTTCTCCCCAACGTAATTTATTTATTCTTTTAAAATGTGAAAATCGACTGATGTGTTCAGCATGGACATTTATTTAAAGCTCTTAGTAGATCACACTTCTCGCCGCCTTTCCTTCACACTAAAGATAAAGAGTGATATTTTCAACTTAATTGTCTATGTGTAATGGTGAGGAAAAAATCATCTCTGAAACTACAGCTTTAATATATGAGTATAGACAGTTTAATATTTTACAGTTAATGTATCGGAACCAGTATTTAGAAGCATTGCCATTTTCAGTTATGGAAATCAATTCGGTTAAATTAAATTGTATAGTTTACTATTACAAGAATTAAAGCAAAGCAATTACTATTTTTGTTTTTTAATTATGATATAAATAAAAACAAAAAAAATTATGATATAGCAAGCTTATGTTGGTTGTTTTTTCTTAAAAGACTATCCTTTGTATTATAAGCACTTAATTTCTGTTTTAGGAAGTGGGGAGCATCATTGGGAAAAAAGGAGAAATTGTTAAAAGATTTAGAGAAGAGGTATGTAAGGCATTCACTATTTTAAAATATTTGTATTTTATAAATTATAATTTTTTTTAAATTATTTCTTAGTGTATAAAAAAATTATATCACTTGTATTATTTATTTTTTTCAGTCAGGAGCAAAAATTAACATATCAGATGGTTCTTGCCCTGAGCGTATAGTAACAGTAACAGGCCCAACACAATCAATCTATAAGGCATTTACTTTAATTTGCAAGAAATTCGAAGAAGTAAGTTTCTGTCAATTTATAGTTCCCTATATGATAATCCTAACAGGTATCCGTTAACCTTTTAACAATAGTGAACCTCTTATATGAGTCTAGAAGCAATCTAGTCCAGGCAATGGTGGACTCACGTGTAAGCCTGTCAACCTAATATGATTGCTTTTTTTTAATTAAAGTACATGACAAACCATTTTATTTTTAGTTTTGACTCATTAAATCGTATAAAAAATAAAGGTTTAAAAGTTTATTTTTTATTTTTAAATGTATAGGTCATGTAAAAACATATAACATTGTATATAAGTTCAATAAATAATAAAATAAAAAAAGTTTGGAACGATGTTCTTAATAAAAGAACTAAAGTGGTGAGTAGAGATGATTAAAAGTATTCCGTCACATGCACTAAGAACTGACAGGTAATGTCGTTCATTGTCGCTAAAAGGTTTATAAAATTCAACTTATCCATGTAGAACATATTTTCGGTTTATTGCAAAACGTCACCAAGTGCATTTTTGATGGTGCTGAACTTTTAAGAACATTTTTGTGAATGTTGGCCTCATTTATCTATGAAAAATACAAAAAGTGCACCAAAATGAATTTATTCATTTCTCTGATTTACCAGGTATTGGTTGAATGCAGTCATAACATGCTTGTAAATTACAGTTTCTGTAATTTTCAGTATCCTGAAGCACATCAATGATTTCTTATGAATCATTAACACAGCTTGCTAGTAGATTTTTCAGGAGATGAGGTGTTAGGTGAATAATCATTTAGATAAACATCTGTTTTATCTATTTATATACTTTGAATCTAAATTTCTTTCTTAATTCACCTTTTTCCCCATTGTGTATTTTGGTAAATTGATGGTTTAATTATATGATAAATTTCAGTTTGTTCACCAATTTCAAGAGATGCAGAATGGTAGTGGAGGTGGAGCTAGATCACCAATAACTTTAAGGTTGATAGTCCCGGCATCACAATGTGGTTCCCTTATCGGCAAGGGAGGCTCAAAAATTAAAGAGATAAGAGAAGTCACTGGCGCATCTATACAAGTAGCTTCAGATATGCTCCCGAATTCTACAGAACGCGCTGTCACAATTACAGGAACCTCAGATGCTATTACTCAATGCATCTATCATATCTGCCAAGTAATGTTAGAGGTAAATATTTTTTTAATATATACTTACACTTATCTTAAACTTATAAAGCCATTGTTTCTACAAATTAATGAATTCTGAAAGATAATAATCATGATAATTATTAACTGAATAATTAAGCCCACATATTGTTTAAAATTATTTACATCAACAATTTTACTTCTTTTGTTTATATGTCTTTTTTATTGTGACTTCATGTCAAGTGAAGTATTATATGCCTGTTAGTGTAAAATTAAAATAATGATTTATTTTTCTTATAAGCTTATAATTATTTTTTCAAAAGTAGTTGAAAGAGCGTATTAATAATATTTTAAGCAGCACTCCTGAGCTCCTAAGATTTTGTTAACTAATTGTTTATCGAAATATGAACCGTTTTATTAAACAATGTTACTAGATTGAGAAAATCATTGTTTATAATTATGTAGAATCTGTGAAAAGTGTTTCGAGTGTAATTTTGGGAATTTTTATGGGTATCGCCAGAAAGCTAATTTTTTTCTCTTTCTTGGTAACTAATGGGTTTAAGTTATGCAGCTATTACAGAGATGAACATTCCTATGAGAATCATGGGTTCAAACTCAAAAATTGAACTTGCACTTGTGAAATTCCAAACTTTTATTGCATTTTTCCATAAATATGATTTTTCACACGTTATGTACAGTTGCCACAGAATTAAGATTTAAGTTAAAATAATGAAAAAGAATTTGACATATTTTTTACTTTCACTTACCTATATATGTAATGTATAGTAAAGGGAAGTATTGTGATTGTAAGAAATTTTGAATCTGCGTTTTCAACGAAAATACACGTTTTGAGGTCCCTGAGTCCAAATAACCAAGTCCCACAAAATGATCCTTTTGTATGTGAACAGTTTAGCTCAAAAACCAAAAGTCATACAAAACTTATATTATGTATTTAAGATAGGTATATGCCTTAGATGTCACAGAAATGTTTTCCTTGAAATCAGCTTACTGGAAGTGCCACTTTATATCAATGGTGAAACATATTTTTACAATTTTCTCAAAACGACTCCAACGGTTTATATTACACTTGGTGTATCATTGTATAATTAAGTAGTCTTTAATATCATTTAGGTCTTATCCCCATTGATGTCACTTTGAAGGGCTTAAATGCCCAATATTCATATATGTCTTCCTCTAAAGTCTCTTTAATATGGTTTATTTAAAAAAATTAACTCTCTTTTATTGACAGTAACTATAAAAAATGGCTAAATATTAAGTTTGGAAGAATATGATAATTGGAAACTAGAGAAAAAAAGAAAAATGCTTATCCAGGTCGAAGATGCATCTCCGGAAATAAGAGTGTTTCTGACTGTTACATATACGTGTAATATATCGTTATAAAGCGGAGAATTTTAAAACAAATAATATCGAATAAATAAAGTTGTAGAAAGTAACGGAGAGTGACATAGATAATAATTCCAGAAAACTAACATTATTGAATGTAAATCACATGTTTCCAAGGAAATGAAATGAAATTTTTTTCTAAGTTTTAAAAAAAATATTTAAAATCCACCAAATCAAGCTAATGCCATTGTTTAAAATACTATTTCATGGACATTTTTATAATCTTACATAAATTTACTGTAATTTAATAACTCTAGATATGATATATTTAAATCAAACAGTATCTATGGCTGATTATTCCAAAAAAGTAACCTTTTAGAAAGTTAAATTAGTGAATAATTTGATGAATTTTTCCTTTGTGCAATCCCAACATTATTCACTTACAATCAGTGTGACAATTTATGACCTATTCATCACTGCAGGTATTGCAAATCTTGCAATTTCATTTTAGTAAACTTTACAATGAAAAATAACAGTTTAACAACTAATAGTAGTACAATCCATAGTCATTTATATGTTAAATATTCAGATATACTTTCAAGTCTCTCTAGGCGTATAGGAGCCTTTCAGTTGTCAGAATGACTAACTCAAATTTCAACATTCTTTATTATTAATTTTAGTGATGTTTCTAGTGGCAAAATGTATACCTTTATTCAGTTCTATATTTGAACACTGCTCTGGATTCAACTTACTCACTGTCTGTATAGATATAACTTTTCCAACTAGAAATATCACTAATATGGCATTACTCAAAATGTTTAAATTAGAGTTACTCATTATGTCAACTGAAAGGCTTAGAGACTGAAGTTGTGTGGTTTATAGAAGCAGATGAACTAATGATAAATAAAGTATTTGTAATTTTAATGGTCTTGATGATTGGTTATCTGTAAGCTTTAAACTTTGGCTCCATTTAAAATGCACTTCAAAAATTTTATAATAGCCAATGTCAGAAAATAATTTCTATTCAAAGTAGAGTGGTAAGTGAAGGTTATGTGTTGCTCCCACCAGATTTTTTTTTATTCTTTCAGAACCAAATATATTTATTTTTTTATTATTTGTTGATAATATAATATATAAATTGATTTAATATTTTCTTTTTTAGTCTCCTCCAAAAGGAGCCACAATTCCTTATCGACCAAAGCCTCAGGTTGCTGCTCCAGTGATCCTGGCCGGAGGTCAGGCCTATACTATACAGGGTAATTACGCCGTTCCAGCTGGTCCGACAGGAGAGGTGAGTGGTGCATGGGTGCCAGCGCCTCCAGCCCTCGCTGGCCCCCCTCTCGGTTTGGTTGATCCACTCCTCAAGACCCCAGCGCTCCACGCTGCGCTTCCTCCAGCTCACTTAGAGGTACACCTCACACGCCACGGTACAGCTCACCCGTCCTTACCTCTTGAGCCTTATCAAGTTCAACTGATTAATGTGCCTTTGCATTTTACATGCGATCAATTAATTCATTATATTGAGGAGATTAAATTGTTTAAAAGGGTGACTTGGTCTATATTGTCTATTCCTTTCAATCTTGAGGCATTTTCAGATTCAATACTTCTTAAATTATATTTTCAAAAATTAAAATACTTTTTTAATATTAATATTTTTATTTTTAAAAAAAATAGCTAATGGAATTTCTTATTATCAAAACAGAATTATAATATAAAACTTGCTGTTGTGGAAGAAGTATTAAATTAAAAAAAAAAAAATATATATATATATTATTTTAACTAGATGGGAAAATAGTAAATAAAAACTGGTTTATGATGGTACTTACTAATATTTAGGTTATAAATAAACTAAAATCACTAATAAATAAACAATTATTTTCATTCATTTTATTAATTTATACTCTTTTGGTAAAGTATATATTCAACTTGTTGAAAATAGTCATGAAATTTTATCAATTTTAATTAAAATATTTCTGTGATTTATTTGGATTCCTTAAACTACTAATTAATCCTATATCGTTTAAATTTTTAGAAAGTTTAACTATCTTAATGACGAATGTTATGCCAAACAAACTTGATCATTAATAAGCATTGACTAATTTCATTGTCACCTCTTTTATGATTTAACTTACTCCTCATTTATAACTTCATTCATTATAGTATTGAAGAAGAGAAGGGGCAATAGAGGTATTGGGCGGCCCCATTCCTCCACACAGTTCTAAACAACTGCTGTGGGATTACATTTCTTCTTAGCCCCCCCTACCTTCTGATCTCTTTGATACCTACTATTTCTATAACTTACTTAATATTTCTTATATTGTTATTCTCTTTTTTGTTTTCTATGTTTTATTTTAATTTTGTTGTTCTGAGTTAGTACAGAACACAATTATCTGATATTCCTTTTTTTTTTTTTTATGCTTTGAACAATAGCTTCCGTTACACATATCAGAAACAATATAGTGGTTTTGTACTAACTTAAAACTTTGGTGATTTTTGTTTTCTCAGTGCACTTTCTTTTGTATATTTCTGGGCTTATTTTCTCACTCTTTTCACTTAACATTATAACTTTTAGCGCTAGCTACTCACAAACAATTTATAATTATTGAAATAATAACTTGCATCAATCCTCAAAATCAATTGATTATTACTGATTTCATTAATATATATATATATATATATATATATATATATATATATATATATTCTTAATTTATTATTTTTTGCTGAAATTAATTAAACACATATGAAGTCATAATTCTTATTTTGCAGAAAGTTCTTCTTTTTTTTTTTTTTTTCTCTTGTAAGTCATCATTTTATTTCTTTTCCTTTTCGGGCTTATTTAGTTTTGGTGTATTTTCTCATAATTAACAAATGAGCTATTTTCACCATTTAGCTTGTTACAAATCATTCACCAAAACATCTTAAGCATACTTTAAGCTGTATCTGTGTACAATTTATCTTGTAACCACACCATTTTTGATTGACCTAAATATCAGTAGAATTTGTTCCTGTTATATTATCTCTCACTCTTAAGGCCAGTTTACAAGATCATGTTTCTTGAAGCATTAAGTCAGGATGAAGACAATTATAGTCGGTAAAAATTATTTAATCCATATATTGAATTACCCTGTTGGCTATGATTAGAAAGTATTAACAAAGAAGATCATGCTCATACTCGTTTTTTTTCCAAGAAACGACTTCATGAGGCTATTAATAGAAAGTTTTTAATTTTCTTTTGTGCCAGTTGTCAGTTAGTACTTTTATTGTAGTGTGAGTGTTAGTGTTTGGAAATAAATGAACATTAAATGGAAGAAAGTCGTTTTGACAATAGAACAAAAATTCCAAGCTTTGTTTTGTATCAATTCTGAGGAATTGCATACTTTAAGCTTATTAACTGTCCATTACTAAAAATAAAGCCATACGAGCTCTATGATGACCAACTACACATATATCTTTACACCATATCCTCATTGATACTTCATCAAAACCAAGCGAATCAATTCAACTCAAACAATTGAGCCATCTTAAAGATTATCATTACCACTAATGACCAAAAATAAACAATTTAAAATTTATGTTAGTCTAAAACTTTTAGTTGCAGAGTTAAACATTAAAAATGTTTCATAGGCCTTCCCCAAATTTGACTCTTAAATGTGTTTGTGTTTGTTTTATTTCTAAATTTAATGATTACAAAATTAAATAATTGCCATTAAAATTAAATACTAATATTATTGGTGCTTAAGGATAACATTTTTATTGATTGAACTAATAAAAGCACTTATAATTTTCTTTTAAACACATTTTTTTTAAGGGGGTGACAAGTGCAGTATATTTTAAAATGAAATTTTATTTACTGTCATTAGTTTATTTAAATGTTTTTTTTGAATTATTATTCATTGGTAACTTGTATCTTCATTAAGAATGTTTCAATGAAGCAAAAAAAAATTTCTATATTCTGTGTTGAATAGCGCTAGGTTTTTAATTAGCTTCATATGTGTTTATAGTCTTAAGATTGATTTAAAGTATATACAAATTTTTTATTTTGAAAAAAATATTTTAATGCACTTAATTATAAATCGAATGAAACGAACGTGCACTGATTTATGTATGTATGGTTTGAGTTTTTGTGTGGTCAAGGAAAAATTAAAGTATTAATTGCCTATTTAAAAATGTGGAAAAATGAAAGGTTATGATGATTATGTTTATTCAACAAAAAAAATAAAATCATTTATATTGATTTACCAAAAGCATACCTCAATTTCTTTTTTCTTTTTCTTTTTTTTTCATTTTTCCTATTCACTGCTGTAATTTAAATGACTGTTGTGCTCCAGTCATTTATTTATGCATTTATTAATATCTTCTAAACATTGCATGTGCATGTAAAAAGCTTTTTTAGTTTCTTAATTTTAAGATATTGATCTGTTGTGAAATCTGTGATGCATCGCAATTTAAAACAATTAGATTCTGATTCCTAATTTATAGAAAATGTAAGAAAAAAAATGCCTCACAGATTTCTCTGGTGTTAATGTCTATAAAAATGCCTTCCTTGACAGCTTCACAATATAGGTCTAATCATTATATTATACTCCTGTACTTCATTATTATAATTCAAAAAGATTCGTAAACAAATAAAAATAATTTTTTTCCTTCCTTTTTTTCTTTTTCTTTCTTATTATTAACACATGTTGATTTTCAAGTTTCTTAATCTTTGTTTACGACTCTTTTTGGAACTTGTTACATATTACTTCTATCATTTCCTTCTAATATTACCACTGCCACTGTTTTGACTAGTGATATATTATATCCCACTCATATAATGTTAACACAATCGTTAATTGCAATTAGTTTTCTTTATTTGTTTCTTTATTTATTTGTCTTCTAAATAAGCAATTTTAATTTGTGAAGTGAGAGTATCATTTTTAATAAAATGACTCTCACCATTTTTAGAAACTTTCAAGCATGGCTTCTAATTTAAATTCTGCTTGCGCTTTATTTCTATTATACTTCTTATATCTTGTAATTTTTGCACTTTTCAACACCCTTTCTTGTATATTAAAGGGAATAGTTTAATTTTTTCTTTCTTTGTTTTTTATTTTAAATAAATCGAGAGATCAGAATGAGATCATTCATTTTTATATTATGGCCCATTGTTTAATATTGAATTTACTCCTTTAAAGTATAACTTTATTAAAGAATTTATTGAAATTTAATTCATGTGGCGTGGGAGGGTTACTTTTGGGGTCCTTTCTTCCCACCTATTTATCCCAGCTAAGATATTTTAATTTATTTATTCTGTGTAATTATATGTAAATTTCCACACTATTTACAGCTCCTACCGGATGTTGTGATCGCACCTTCCCAAGTAAGTACCATATTGATGACATCATCAGGTGATTTCTTTAATCTTTCTAAACATATGTATTGATTTTATTGTGAAAATAAAATATACATGATTAACAAAACCAATACATATTTATTATTTTTATTTGTAATAAGGTTATTTTAAAATCTAATTTCTTATTATCAAAATGATAGATTTATTCATCATTACTTTAATGTCCAGGCATATTTGTGTCTTCAATTGGTTGACTAGGTATATTACTTAATTTGATATCATCTATTTTAAAATAAGTTCTAAAATGATACATTTTTGAATTATATAATAATTCATAATCTGAAATTTATACCTATCAGAGTTACCTAAAGATTCTTTAAAATTGCCAACCAGAAAATGATTTTATTTTTTTTCCATGAAGTGTAGGTTGAAATTCCAACTATAGATTTTGTAAGATTTGATGCAAAAATTTGCATAAGTTATAAATACATGAAGGTAAAACATTTTGAAGTATGTTTTAGAAAAACTTAATCAAATACGTGTGATGAGTATTCTTTATCAACCATTGCAGTTTTGTTGTGCGTTATTTCGAAAATGGTAAATTTTAGGCCTTCAGTACTCAGAGTCAGTATAATTTGTAGGAAATTCCTTATTTAACTGCTTCTAAATATTTAAGACCTGACCAAAATGGCTTTAAAAATTTTGATAAAACTTGCCTCTAGTCTTCTACTTACGGCCCTTTAAATTTCAGTATATTTATTGGGTCGTCACGCATGAAATGACCGATTTTAGAAACAGTAAATACAAAAATTATTCAGATGAACATGATTTCATTGTTGATAAAATCATTTAATTATATTTATAAAAAAATATGATATTACGTACTTTATAAACAAATAAACGCTTCTATCTATCTAAAAAAAATTATTCACCAATCAAATATATTTTATTTACTATATTTTTCATGACACTTTTGTCAAGTCAGAAAACAAAATTTTTAATGTTTGAAACATTTGTAAACAATCAATCTATAGGGAATAGATCAGGAAGATATAGTAGGGCTTCATAACCCAACTGCTTTAATTTATTGACAGTCTATATCAAAACGTAAGGACGGGAGTTATCATGCTGCATGATAGCATGATCATCAACATTCATTGATTAATTATTCCTCTTTACCAGTGCCGGCTGTTGTCTGCTATTTAAGAATATGCTGTTTTATTTCTGTTATCATTGTATCTCAATGGTTATCAAATGCCTTGCTATAGACATTGTTAACAATAAATAATCCTAACAGTATACAGCATTTTTGATTAATCAACTAAACCTAAGGATTGGCAGGATCATTTGCATAGTGCATACCATGATATTCCAAATATCCAGTTAATCAGAGCATTAAACATAAACAACAATGAACTAATTACAATTCAAGTTAATATGTAATTTTAATTTAACAGTAAGTAGAAAAATTATTTAAATAAGTGGTTTTCACTAGTAGCCTTTGATAAAAAAAAGTTCCAAGAAACAAGACTTAATTTTCCAAAGTTATAGACTTATTACTGATTTGGTACATAACTTAAACAAATCTAATCCATTGTTGATGTATGTTGTTTTTTAAAATAGTTTATTTGGAATATTGTCTAGGTCTGGTGGGTTATGACATGGTTAAGTACATTTACTTGTAAGAACATTACAGGCATTTTTCAGTGACTCAAAAAATATTATGTTATCATTATGTTCTGAATATTGTTTTATTTTAGAGTCCCTCTCGGTATTCTAAATTTATTTATGGGGAGGGGACATTAACTGATTTTTAGTCCAAAATATGACAACAAATATTCAAAGCTAGATAGCTCATTAAATTTATTTGCAATAGCACAAATAAATTAGCATCTCTATTCAATCGTTTAATCAGAATTAATTTCTGCTAACTTCATCAGATTCTGATTTTTATAAATCAATTATGTAGAGATGGTTGACCGTTGATATAATATGAGGAGTTAATCGGGGGGGTGCGGTCAAATAAATACTAAATTAAAATATAGTAATTATTTAATTTTTTGCCGACGTTTCGGCCCACTTTGCAGGTCGTCTTCTGGGTTACAAAACATGGTGAAAATAAAAAAATTAATATAATAGAGATTTGTTATACACTTATTCCTTATCTTTTATCACAATCTGTTTACTTTTAACTTACATGCTATATTCTCCTTTATTTTTTATTTTTATTCATACTTATTTTCCATTTGTTTGTATCTTCTACATATATAATACTTGATATTTTAACTACATGTCACCCACTATATCTCTGATATCATCTTTTTATTTCTGTATCTGACAAATTCTTATTTTATATCTACTTATATTAATTTTTTTATTTTCTCCATGTTTTGTATCTTTTGTAGCCCAGAAGACGACCTGCAAAGTGGGTCGAAACGGCAAAAAATTAAATAATTACTATATTTTAATTTAGTATTTATTTGACCGCACCCCTCGATTAACTCCTTCTCATATAAATCAATTAATTTAAAATTGGTTTTTTAACATGATAAATAAAATTAATGAGGGCATATGCAGGGGAGACTAATGGTCTCTGTAGTTGTTAATTTTGGCCTGTTTGAAAGGCTATTATTGTGAAGAACACATGGAATTGATGCCAACCTTCCACTCTTGGTAAAATAGATAAGAGACTGGATATAGGATTACTTTCTTGCCTTCGTGGAATATAACAAGTAGCTATATAAACAAATATTCTCTCACAGGTATACCAAGTTAGCTAGCTATACAGATGTTGAACTCAGTTAACAACACAGATGATTTTATTCACTTATAAAAGCTTCTTCATGGCTTCTTCTAAAAGCTGATTTATTTTTCTGTACCTGTATTATTATTATTTAATTGATTCTATAAGTGTGGAAATTTACTATGTTACAATAACTATAAAATAAAATAAAAGATAAATCATGTCATCATATATTATAATATAGCGATTATAGGTTGTTTTTTTTTGTCAGTGATATGTTAAAATATTACATATCGTCAGTCTAAGGCGAAACCACAAATATTAAAATTATTTTGTGCCATGTTTCTCGAGAAAAACCATGATTGTGAACTTCGGTACTAGTTCACAAGAGTTCCGCACGGATTACGCGTGGTTCACAATCACTTCGATCACACTTGTTCATGGAATCCCGAAAACAGCCGAATGTTATCGTCTTTTATGACATCAGCTATTACCCCATAATACAATCCCTTTTCATGCATTTTTGAAAAAAATACAACGTATTCCCTTTATGGAACTTCCTTATTAAAAAATTGTGCATTTACTTATTAGTTAATTATTAGTTTTTATTATAACGGTTATTACTTTGAAAGAAAAAGAAAAAAATACATAAAATAATGTTTGCGTAGTTTCTTCAAGCCCTATTTAAAAAAAAAAAGCTTTTAGTAATAACATTTTTATTGACACGTGCTTACATGTAGTGGCTGTAAATACGCATATACTGTATATTATCTTTTATAACTGTGCATAAACGATTTTTTATCATTTGGATAATAAATAATTTTAAGTTATCTATTATCTTTTTTTTTGTTATTCGAGTTTTTCAATAGAAGTTGGAATAATTGAATTTATAATTTATTTTAGCAAGCCTTTTTTAGAATTGCGCAATCGTCTATCTAGTTTACATATTTTTTTAGATTTCTAATAATACGAGGGCTATTTTCTAGTGGAGGGGGACGCTTTGTATGCATATACTGTCTGATTTGTAATTATTGTTATTCGCAGTTATTTTTCTTGGTAATCCGAAAAAAGGAATTATTGTAGGCTATGGTACAAAAAAAGTATTTATTTTCGAGAAAGGAATTAACGTATTTGGGAAACAACTGACGAAGAATATGTAATAATTCCAAGATAATGAATATTGGAAATCATCTATAAGAAAAATAATATCGTGAAATAGCAGCCAGAGATGTAATAATTAAAGATCTTTATGTATTACTATTTCTTTTTTACAGATCTATAATATATGTACAAGCTCAATTCAGGTTTCATGATGTGTATCCTAAATGTAAATCTGCTCCTGCTATATAACTGAACGTGGTTAAGGTTAAAGTACTTAAATTAGTTAAGGTTAAAATACTTAAATGGCGGGAAAGTTAATAGTAACTGGCCCAAGAGATCGGTCGCCTTCGTTCTCTTTCGGAGAAACACGAACGCATTCGGGATTCCAGGAACAAGTGTGATCGAAGTGATTGTGAACCATGCGTAATCCGTGCGGAACTGTTGTGAACTAGTACCTGAACTTCTGTAGGTCATATAAGTTACTAAAATGTTTTATTTATTTTTTTTTCATTAATTGCTGTAAATTTGACATTCGTGGTTTTGGATTATCACTGAAAAATCATATGTTTTATCAAATTTATAACTTTCTAACCTATTAAATCAACTAAGTAATTATTATTACATTCTTTTAGTTTGTTTTTGTTCAATTACTATTAAATTTAATTTTTTTTATGAATTAAAAAATATATATCTTTAGTATATAATCTATGTCATTGTTAAATGTGTGTACTGTTTCTGTTTTTTTCTTAAGATATAAGTGGTCTTTCATATTTTTTTTAGTGTTTCACTCATTTTTATAACTATTAATATTTTTTTCTAATTTATAAGAATAAATAGTTATTGCGTGTAGATATTTATATCACTCACTGAGGGATTATTATTGCCTTAGATAATTCAAAATTTGGTTTCTAATTATTAAATGGTTTATATGATTAAAACTGAAACATTAAGTAAGTTAAGTAAATGAAAAGATTTCGCAGGCTCAAGTTAAAGAATCTACGCTCGGGTCAGAAAAAGGTACAATTGTGTACAAAAATTTCATTGATTTATTTTTATTTTTTTGTTTGATTGATTTAATTTGCCCTTATAAGCAAGACAAATAAGAACAGGAACATTAAGTAGTATTATGAGAATTTGATCAACTTCAAGTTCGGTAAATTTTAATTTTATATTTATTAATGAAAGCCTTGATTACTGCATATTATATATATATATATATATATATATATATATATATATATATATATATATATATATATATATATTTTAATTGAAAATAAAATTTTAACTTTTCCTATTGAATTGCTTTAAATTTGGTATGTGATTAAGGGTAATTTGTTGCCAATGACCCTACAGGGTAGAGGCAACAAAATACCAAATAAATAAATTTGGTATTATGTGATAATGTCGATTAAAAATTGTTAGATCAGTTCTTTAAAAATTATTCATTTAAGGTCGCTCTGCTTTAAATATGTTGAAATATATAATATTCTATGTGTGTGCACATTATATATGTAGTTATAGTTCGAATAATAATTATATATTTATTTGATTAAGATTTTCAAATTAAATAATATATTGAACAAAGGCACAAAAAGAAATTTTCATGAAAAATATTTATGTTTCCTGTAGTTAAATTTTTTTTATAAATAATCTAACTTTTCTATAACTATGCCTGTATTTGCTAATCATAACGTTATTATTGGTTTGCTTGAGTAATCAGTTCTCAGTATATTACTTATCAAATGAACATTTGGAACATAGCTTCCCTGATAAATCTCTCGAACATTTATTGACCAGATTTTTAATAGTTGATCATAATATATGCAGGCTTTAATTTTAAATTTATTTATTTTTATGGGGCAGAACAGTTGATAATAATATTTGCTTTTTAATTTAATCAACTGCCCTCTGATGAATATTATGTCTTATTTAATTGTATTTTTTTTTAATTGTGTTTAAGAAATTCATTTCCAATACATAAAGCTTTGTATAGGTATGTAATTACATAATACATTTTTTCTATAGATGGGCAAAATGGGAGGTAGCCCACTTGCAGGTCTTGCTGCTCTTGGTCTTGGTGGTCTTAACTCAAACACAGGAGGTCTTAATCCAGCAGGTACGTTTATTTTGTAAGAACATGGTTAATGTTTGATTGAGGATCTCTTCTGTTATTCAAAGTTGGAATCAATCAATGTTGCCATTATAAGATGTTTGGTCGAGTTTTTCATCATGGCTGATATGTGATATCAAACATCATGCATCTTTTTTTTTTCTTCGACTTCATTAGATTCTTATGAAGGTTGACGATAGTTTGCTAGCTCCAAATATTGACAGTTGTGATATCGACTGGAAGCTTTTGATATTAAATAGTCACAGTCAGCAGGTGTAAGGAAAAAATAAGAAATAGTTCCTGATCGAATAATCTCTAAGTTTAATGTGTATAAGATGTTTTCATCCTGAAATACTCATCTGACCTAATCAAAATTGATAATTTAATATTAATAAATTTTGAATAAGAGATAAAAAAAAAAAAGTTCCATGTACTTGTTAAAGATTAGGTAGGTAAGGTGAAACTGAGGATTTGTTTATAGGACGAAGTTCCTTTTATACTTTGTCTGTATTTCAGTTTTTATTTTTCTTAATCCATCAGTACACTGATAATGTTTTCACTTCCCATCTCTATGAATTGGAATGACGACGTTTAATCTCATCAAGCCATTTTCATGTATGATCATTCGCAGAATTTTAAAAATACTCCCATATATTAAAATGCAAAATTTATATTTACCTATCATGTCCTCATTTATTGCATTTGTTATGTAGAAAACATGTGTCTTCTTATAACAGCTAGTTGTCTTAATCTATTTTCAATTATTATTTTAATTCATTATTATAAAATGAATTGATATTAAGAGATTTATATAAATGTTAAAATACCCTTTTATGTGTCAGATCCCATGTTATCGGTATCATTGTTACTGAGCGACTAGTCGATATAAGAGTGGGAAACTTAACTTAACTTTCAAATAAAAATCTCATAATCTCTGTTGGTTTTGAGTATAGTTTTTTTATTTGAAGCCATCAAACCTTTATAGGTTTTGAAGTTGTTTTTATTCAATTTTGTGTTTTTTTATTATGAAAAAGTGTGATATTTTCTGTAGTGACAACTATCAATTGAACTTTGACCATTAGTCCCATTCAATATAGAAGCTTGGGATGAAGGGGCTGATTCGTTTAGTGTTGCTAGATGAGGAGTCGGAGCTGTAAATCGACTCCTCCGGGGAGCTGGCAGACTTATGGATTAATCTGCAGTGAGGTGATCGGGCCAGGATCAAAGGTCTTTCCTCTTAATTAATTATTTAATTAAAAGTACCCATTTAATACCGGCTGGGTGTGTTCCCAGGACATAGAGATTAATAGCCCGGTGCCTAACTCATTGAGCGGCTCCACTCCCTCCATAATAATGATATTCATATTTTTAATCTAGTTTATTTATCCATAGAATTCATTTTAAAAATTTCTGTAATTCAGTTAATTTTTGTTTTCTTTATAGCATTAGCAGCTTTGGCTGGCAGTCAGCTGCGGACCAATACCCCCAACAGCAGAAATCAGCCCAATGGCGGTCAACAGACACACGAAATGACTGTGCCGAATGACCTCATTGGCTGTATAATAGGAAAAGGTGGAACTAAAATTGCTGAAATTAGGTATGTGATCAATGATATTTTAAATAAAATTATCAAAGTGGATTAACAACTACTTATTCATTCTGGATCCTAGGCTAAGTGGTGTTGTTCATGTTGAACAATTATGAAATGTGTTGTTTTTTATTTATAGGCAAATTAGTGGTGCCATGATTAGAATAAGTAATTGCGAAGAAAGGGAAGGTGGTTCTACAGACAGGACAATCACAATCAGTGGAAGCCCTGATTCAGTTGCTCTAGCACAATATCTGATCAACATGAGGTGAGTTATTTTCACGTTTCATATCTTTTTAGCAAAACTTTTTTAACATCTTCCTAACATGGTATTTGAGAGATTGATTTCTCGTTTTCTTTAGGTCTTTTCTATATATTTCAACTTTTTTCTGTCCATAAAATAGAATATATTTTTGATCAACTTATATTTATAGTTTATTGATAACAATTGTACGAATTATCTGTACTATTTACTATTATCAAATCAGTTTTCTTCCTAAAGAATTATCTAAATCATTCAATTAATTTTAATTATTTGTGTTATTGTTCTGTTCTGGGTTCATTTGCTAGTTGACAGAGTTATAACATTTAGTTAACTATCAGTCGTAAATTTAATTGTAATGATATTTATTAAAATTCTTTGGGAATTAAATAGCATTTAATTCAGTTTATTGCTCAATGATCTTAAGCTGAATTCACATGAAATAAGTTGGCAGAAGTTTTTCTGTTTGCCTTTATTTTAGCTAGATTTGTCTATTTTTCCAAACCAATCCTGTTTTAATCCAAGAGGCTAGTTGCTTAGATTATCAGTATTTAATCTTGTGGAGTATATATTATAAGGATAAGGACAGTCTTATATTCTTTATGTGTTTAAAATTCTTTCTATGGGCTAAATAGAGCTATTATGTTAGTGGAAAGCAGTTTATAGTCATTTTTAAGTTCTTTGCCCTAACCTGACATCGTGTTCCAAGTTTGCTGTTAGTCATGCAGGGCTGTCATCATGGATCAGAGATAGTCTAATGTATGTAATGTGCAGTCTTGAGAGAATCTGTCTTTATTAAAGTCCATGATTAGGTGTCATTTCTTTTATTGGCTTTAGTGGTTTTCTCATTTGGAATTTCATAAGTCTTTCTTGCTTACATGTTGAAATGGGTTAACTAATAAGATAAGCATTACTTATGTATAGCTTAGGTGGTGCTAACTTCATCACTTACCAAGATTGAAAGTTCAACCAAATATAATAATACTATATGCTTGATAGATATTGTATAAAATTATTATTATTTGAGTGTCGCCCAACTAAAATTTTCTCAATGGATTTAACAGTGATTTTGAAATAATACATATCTATCCTTTTCATCTTGACATAACTAATATACAAAGCATTAGTCGATGCTGACTTAGCATTATCATTACAACCAAAATCGACAAGATTGTTACAACTAAAGAAAATCTTAAATATTCAAGAAGCATACGTCAGCAGTTTGCTTTAACAAAAATAGGATGTTCCAGATTTATTTTGTTTAATGAAATATAAAGAAGAAAACTTATTTTACCCAAATCTAATAACTCAAGCATATATTCTCTGAATATGAGAATTAGATCTCAAATCAGTAAAGTGATATACTTTACAAAAATGGCATCAAGTAATCTTAGACCACCTCCTCCCTCCTTTCTAATAAGGAAAACACCTAGCATTCCCATTCCGATTGCTTTATCAATACTGCATCACAACACGGTGACTCAGAGTGAGTAATATCATATATTTTTTATGTTTTTTCTTTTATATTTTCAATTATTTGTGTTAACTTTTTAAAATGAATAATTTTGAATTACTCAGTCACCTTAAATAATGTTGCTAATCTACGGTTGCATTATCTCTCGATTATTTTCTATTCATAGCATTTTCTTTCTTTCTTTTTTTTTTTTTCTGTTGGCATTACTGACCATGTAGATCTTTTGCCGCCATAACCAGCCTGCTCCATCTCTGCCTGTCTTGGGCTATTTCTTTCCATTTATCTGCACGCACAGCTCTGTTGCATTTTTGTTGATTTCTATCTATCAATCTGCTTTTTGGCCTTCCAAATTGCTACGACCTACATGCCCTGCCCATTAACCTCCGTGCCTTCATATCATAGGATATTGATTGACCAGTTTCTGCAACTAATTCTTTCTTGGTTTTTCTTCTCCATGTGTTGGTATTCTGATCCCAGATTGCTCTGGTTATCGTGCGGAGGATTTTATTCTCAAATATTTCCACATTTTTTTCTAGAGTGTTGGTTAGTGTCTAGGTCTCACAGCTATATATTAGAACTGGCTTTATCATAGCATTGTATACCCTTAGTTCGGAATTTCAATACCTTTGAAAGAGAGAATGAAGCTCTGTTTGCTGTAGTTATACGCTGGTCTATTTCTGCCCATTAGTCATTCATTGAGGTTATTGTAGAGCCGAGATATTTGAATTTTTCTACTCTCGGGAATAATTCTCCTTCTGTGCAGATTGAGGTTATTGGGGTGGAATTTTTGGCTTATTATCATATATTTTGTTTTGTCTTCATTTTTTATCAGTGATAGCGAGTTTCTGAATGTCTTCTTGATTATTTCTAAGGACAGCTATATCATTTGTGTATTCAAGGATTTTATGATTAATTCCGAAGTTTTTCTGTGGTGTTGTTCATATTACTTTCTCCAGGGCTAAGTTGAACAACATTGGTAATAGTCCATACCTACTACTACTTAGTAGTAAATTTTTCGTTTTCAATTTCATTCTTTTTTTTTTTTTCCACAAGAAAAATTGATAATAATAATTATTAAACCCCATCAATATGGTTCTTAAGAAGAACTAATACAGAGTAAGAAATTATCCGTTCGATGTTTATGATGAATTCAAATTTAAATTAATATAAAGATTCACAAAAGGATCAATTCTCAGTTTTATACATATTTTCAATTATATATAATAGACGCTTTTATGTCACTCAGTTATAAGTTTGAAGTATTATCTCACTGGGAATTTTCAAACAAGTTCTAGGAATGCATCAACTAATAAGTAAGCTGATGACACATGTTTGAATATTTACAATACTTAGCTTCATAATAATATTCGTCATAATGAAATATTTAGTATTGAGTTAGCAAATATGTTATATTTGAAAACTCATTCTGAAGTAGAGTGTCTACCAGACCTTTAATTCCTAAGGGAACGTTTCGAAAATCTTTGAAAAACACTAGAATTCAGGAAAAATCACATTGAATCTGAGGGCTGTGAGTGCAAATTAATTTCAGAATAATTGTCACAAAAATTTTATATTGTAGTGATACATATTTACACATTTATACAAAAAGCAAGTCAAACATAATCTTATTTTGTTGACCTCAACTTTTTCCAAATATGATACGAAAAACTTAATCAGTTACATAAAAAGGTTTTGGTAGACATCCTGATTTACTTCTATGCCTCTTCCCATTTAATTTGAATGTTTAGTAATTTCTTAATTTTTATTTTCATTGGTAATATTTTGAAGTTTTCATATTCATTGAATGGTTTTTGTCTAAATATTGTTCAGTGCCAGTTTTTATTTAAGTAATAGCTCTAATAATTATTATCTTTGAGTACTTGGTTATTTATTAATGGATGAAAAAAAATTAACGATTCACTACCAACTGAATGCTTTATGTATACTAACCTACTTCTTTTCCGTTTATTTTTTTACGAATACTATGTAATCAAATCTTCTATTTATTTATTAATTAATTTTTATTTATACATCATTTTTTCTGTACACTTTTAAAAAAATATAAAAACCAATTTTACCTAATTCCCATTTTCCTCATTTTTTTCCTGCTTTGTACATTGATACAGTGTGGAGCTGCAGAAAGCTAACTTGGAAGGTGCTAGCGGAGGCAGCGGCGGAGGAAGCGGTAGCGGGGGTGGGGGTAACGGGGGCCCATCGCCAGTTGGGGCAGCGCTCCCCCTGGCCCAGCTGCTTGCAAAGCCAGGAGCGCTCAATGCCCTCACCTCCCTCACGGCTCTGTCTGGCTTGACCGACTTGCTTGGGGGGCTCGCCGGTGCTACAGCCGGCCCTATACAGACCACTGGTGTCCACCGTACCAAAGGAGGATTCGCTCCTCGACTTCGTTCTCCTGGTGCACCCCCAGACAAGCCCAAGCCAGACAGAAATAAGTTTGCTCCATATTAGTTAACGTTTTTTTCCTTTTATCTTCAAAAAGTTCAAATATTTCCCCTATATTAAAAATTATTGATTTTTATATAGTAGTTGTTAATTTTAATTTAATCATAGTTTTTAACTATTAATGTAAGATTTTTTTTTATTTGTATTCTTTTTTTTTCTTTTATATATATGTAACGAATATGAATATTTACTTTCATAAAAAAAATTTGAAATTTCAGACCACTCTTATTATACAATTGTTTTATTGCTGAATTAAGAAATGGATAAAATATTTATTTGTTTAAAATTCCCATTGAATGTTTGTTGTTTTAAGATTCCTTTTTAATGGATTTGTATGAAAGACTATTATACATAAATTTTCTTATAAGCAAGAATTATTTGTAGACATTAATTTTTATGACACCACGTTATATCTGAATGTTATAGACTTGTAGTTTTGCTTGATGTACAATTAAAATGATAACAAAATATTCTGTTTTGGTATTACTTTTTCATATTTCCTCTCCATTTCCTTACCATTCCTCTTTTTTCTTTAATTGAACAATGGAACATTGCAATTTGGAAACTTTAGTAGTTTTTTTTAGTCATAACTTAAAAAATCTGTTGAATGTCATCAATTCTCCAGGGGGTGGGCTGAAGTGTTTATCTGTTGCATTGATTCCCTAAATTGAGCTTTGGTGCATTCTTAATATAAAAAATTCTTCATAAATGTAAAGGTTTTTTTTTTTTTTTTAAATTTTATACTTCAATGATTATTTAAATTCATAAAGACATTAGCATTTACTTTGTTAATATATTTTTCTTCCTTTTTTACAGCTTTATTAGATTAAAAAACTACTCTCGTATAAGAGTATGCTTTGTTCAATGTTAAGTTCTAGATTTTTGGACTTAGATAATAGAATTATATTCTGATTTTTTTTTTTTTAATTCAAGAAAATAAACAGTAAAGATCCAGCATTTTTAGTAAAGTGTTATGCTGTAAAATATATTAGAAATTGGTTATTACTCTACAAAAACAAAAAAAAACACATTTCGTTCTAGTTTATTTATTTTTACTTTTACAATTTAAGAACTTGAAATATTCTCTTGAAAGGCATTTATAATTTTTATTTATTCTGTTTATAAACTGGGAGGGATTTAAGATCTATTATTGGGTTGAAGTTTCTGAACATAGTGGCGTTTTAGTTTTATAAATAGCTTAACGATATGGAATTTTTAGTATTAATCAGAGAAAAAAAAATATTTAAAGCTTTTAAGTTAAAGGTTCCTGACTGAGAAAAGAACCCTTTTTTGCCTCATTTGCTGTGAATCCTCTCCAAACCTAAACTGAGCCAAGACAAGTCAGTCCCAACCACTTCCACCGAGGTTCCCAGAACCATCCTAATGAGCCAAGAACCGCCAAGACTCTTCCGGTAAGCAAACACCTTCCTTCAACATTTATTTCTTCTTCAACCACTGCAGGTATGCACATCCTTTCCTTTCCAGCCTTAAGAGTCCCTGGTTGAAAGTGTGTGCATATCCTCTTTTCTCCCTTAAGTGATACCTCTCAACCTCATTTTTTTAGCGTTATTATTCTGTATTTCGTCTTTTAAAAAACAAAATTTGACAACATTAATTGAGACCATCCCACTTCTTCCAGTAATAATGTTTCTGATATAATCATAATTTTTTATTAATAATATGGTTTATTTTTTTAAACAATCTTACCCTTAATACAATAAAAAAAAATTTAATGAGAGTTGGTGGTCTTCAATTTTGTGAATATTTAATTATGAATATTTTTTTTCCTTAATGATATTTTATCTGTAAATTTATCATAATGTTAATTAAATGTACACATTTTAGTTACTAATTAATTGTTTTTTGTCATAACTTGATTATTTAAAGTGAACTTTTTGTTTTCTGTTAATTAGGATATCGATGGAAACAGCAGGAATGCCTATGCCGGGTTATCATTACATTACACCCAACCACATCGTGAAGGCCCCGATTCATTGAATAGATCTATATACGCATTGTCTGCTTTAGGTACTCTCAGAGCTGAAATTATTCTTTATTTAAACTCTACGTGCAATATGTAATTTATTTATTTTTAGTCAATTTAAGATTTTTTCTGCCAGATATCTGTTAATTTTTATTTATACTCTTATTATTAAAATTTTGTTATGTTTATATATCTTTTTATTTGATGTAGTTTACGCGTATTTATTTATTTATTTTAAACGGTCCTAGCTTTAAGAGTGCAAATATTTTATTGAGGAATTTTCTCGATGAAATACAAAGTATAAGAAAATTAATATACAGTTGAATGCAGGTAATACAATCGCCGTTTCATGAATTTTAAGACACCTAGGAGAGTGCCTATGTAAGTTATATAAAAATTCTTTTTATATTTTATTAAGGAATAAAGCAGGTATTTTAGTAGCTTTTATCATTTTACTATATTTTTAAAAAAAATTTGTTTTAATTTTTTATTTTTATTTTATTTTTTATCAAGTATAAATTGAGAATTACATTCGTGTTGTTCAGATATGTGCTATTGCTTTGGGGGGAGGGAAAAATAAACAAAACAAACATATTTTGTTAAATCAAGCTTAGGTGTTAAAAGATGTAAAAGTAGGATGAAATATTTGTATATGACTTTGTTAGTACGTGAGGATTAATAAGCTTTTTGGGTCCATATATAACATATTGTATAGTAAGGCTTTATGTTTTATATTCCCATAGAATTTAGACTATTGAAAATAGGAGAAGAGTATATTAGGAATAAAATGGGGTACTAAGAAATCTAATCTCTCTTAATATATATTCAATATCTTTTTCTTTTCTATTTTATTTATTTATTTATTTTCACTAATAATATACAGGTTTTTATATATGAGAAATTTCCATATTTACCTGATGTTCACTACACATTAAATCTATCTCTTGTTCTAGAATGTCTCAAAATAATACGGTGTTCTTTATGCTCTATATGTACTTATACATAGTTAATCAGATGAAGTTTGAGACCAATTGTTATTCCAGTGAACTTAATTAATAATATTGTTGTAGATAAAGAATCTCCAGATTTTTAAATCTTTCTTTACTAGTTGTGAATTTCTTTATTTTATTCGTCTCTTAACCTTTAAATGTTTTAAATATTCTAAGAAATCCTGGAACAATTACTTGTAATTAATCTTTATTTTTAATTATAAAGTTTCTCGTATAACTTAAATTATTCAGCAGTTTTATATTGCATTTAATGCGATTTAAAAAAAGAGAAAATAAAAAAAAATACTTAGGCTGTTAAGTAATAAAAGAAATTGTTAACTGTAATGATCTTACTACTTTGAACAAATTTGTTAAGAATTAATTTTTTAAATAATAATTATGTGCCAAAATCATATACAGTATTGTGCTGCTGTGAAATGTTAAATTATTGTAATTTTAGACTGTTGAAAATTAACTGTGCCAATATTATGCTCATTTGAGAGAATGAATTGCTTCAATAATGCAATTATAATTACCTGTACTTAATTAAATTTAGGACTTATTTAATGTTTTGCTGTGATTTTTCGTTTTTATTACTTAATATTTTTTTAGAGCTTTTTGATGTTTAAAATTTATATTGGTTTTGTTGTTATAGCTATTTTATCTAAATTTTACAAACATATCTTGAGTTAAACATATCATTATAATTATATCTTTTTATTCTATATGTGAATATAACTATGGAATATGTATCAGAATCAAGTAAAAGCGGAGGACAAGTATATTTGACATTATATCAATTTTATTTTAGTTTTGTTTTAATAATTAATAATAAAAGTCCGATTTATAGTTTAGGGAAAAGGAAAGACTAACAGTTTACTTTGAATTAGACAATCAATAGTATTAAACACTAGAGATATATTATTACATATATCTTATGATGTATTCTTTGGTACTTAAGTTTAGACATTTTATCCTTGCCTATAGTCCCAGTTACTCTAGAGCTTCTACAGATCTTTATTTTATTTATTTATTTATTTTTAATTTTATTATTTTTGTTATAAATACTATGAGCTTGAGCTCTTTATCTTAAAAAGTAGCTTTAGAACGTTATGACACAATTTAGTGTCCTTTGAGAGCTCTAATCAATAGCACTTTAATGGCATATTAAATGGCAATGGATAATAATCTAAGTGTACGTTCATGTAGCTTAAAAAAAAAAAGAATAAAATGTGTGTAGTGTTTGTAGGATAATACTATATATCTATATTTATTTATATGGGAGAATTGTTAGCAGGTGTTTTTTTATATATATATATATGATGTCTGCAAGATATTTATAATTATTTTCAAAGTTTGTTTTACTGAAATTCTCCTGCCGTGGGGTTTTTGTATTATTGGAAACAGATCATAGTAGAATCCTTACCGCTACCAGGCCATTACTATCCATATTAAACAATTGGGCATTAACATTTTGTTATCCATTATTAACTCAATCAGTGATATCTGTAATTGTTATGTTATTGCTTCTTGATTGTAGATATTTATGTATACATGTGACACAAATTTTATTTCAATTGTATTAAGGAAATAGTTGTTCGTTTTATAAAGAAAGACTGGTTTTTTAGTGTTTAGTGTATATAATAATAATGCAGTAAACTTTTTAATTTGCTTGTCCCAGCCATTGTTATTTAACATTTCCACTCAATAGAAAACACATTCAGTCATTATTGATTAACATTAAATGCTGATATCTATGTTGTAACTGAAATATTAGCATATTCTGATTTACTTTTCCTCATGATTTTTCAAGCTAGGTAGATATTTTCTATTTATTTATTTATTTAAATGGTTCTCAATATGGCTGGATTAGTATAAAAATAAATATTCTTATTTTATTTTAAAATATCTAATCTTGTCTTACATTTTTGATTAATTAATGCATCAGCTTTCAAAATCAAATATAGTTATAGAAACAAAAGAAAAAAAAATTAAATGATGTTTTTCACTTTTATCTGAATGTGTGCACTCGTCATTTTTATTTATGGCAAATATGTTACTCTATTGACATGTCACCCCCTCCCCTTGGCCCAAAGTGTTAGGAAGTGTTGCGATAGACCTTTTTAGCAAAATATATAACAGGAAAACCTTTTATCTCTTCCATATATTTGATGTAAAATTTGTAAAAGTATTTTTAAAAAAAAAGTAAAAAAAAAACACCAATTTTAAGATCTCTATCTCTAAAACATCTATTAAAATTTGTTTGATCCCCTACCTGGAATTTATATTAAAAGAAGAAGAAAAAAAAAGGCTGCCTTGAAATCCTGTATTTTTAGTATCAATTTTTAATTTCTAAAAGTTAAAAAGACAATATTTTTTCAATAGTAAGTTATTTGACCACATATGAGATGCATTTATCCGTTATAATCACAAAAATAAGCTAATGGTTTTATAACTTTTTTATGAAATTTAGCATTTGACTTTATTTTTGAATTGT